CTACTTAGCGCTTGTTTTGGAGAATGTTTATCCTACTTTATTTTTGTTAATGCAAGTAAAGTTATCCTTGTTTTAACTTCGGCGGCTGTGATTGATAGTGTGACTATTCAGTGGTACATTCCTTGCTACCTTCTGCCACTCAACTCTAGTCTCCAAAAGGAGATATACTTAACAGTTTTCCCTCCCTTAATTTCTGCAACTTGGCAGAAAACAGAGGTGAAAAAAGGACAAGAGAGCCTGAGGTACAATAGAACATGTACTAGAAGAGTCTGATGGGACCCAAGCCAAATACAAGGCGGTGCATTAGGGAGAGCTTCAAGACTTGTGGACTATTCCATGGGAAAGCAAGCCTCTCTTCAAACTCTTGAGAGAAATGCCTTGGGGTTGAAAGGAAAAGCTGAGCCAAGGCTGGCATCAACATTTGGCACCTTTAGGAACCTGTCAAGGTTTGGATTGGGGGGGGGGGTACTATGCCTGTTTCAGGAAGAGTGACAGATGTTTGGGTATACCATCTTTTTCATCTCTTCCCTGAGTCTCTGACCCAGGGGGATACTACAGAAGTAAGAATCGCTTTGAAAGCCTGAAGTTCCTCTGCATGCTAAGCTTTCTGTTCATCATCAACTAATCAGAACATAGAGTTAAGTAACCAGTAGCAAGCCAGTTTTCTGCAATGTACACGATGTAAATTTTAGCAAAAAGTAGAAGAACAGAACTTCCCAAAATTGAAAAATGGTATAAATTGTTAGATGATAGAAATAAAAGGAATAAGAAATCGGGAAATGTAAAATGTATAGTAGAAGAATTAGGATACAGTGGTAAGAGGGTAGGAAAAATAATTTAAGATATACAAATGTATATACAAAAGATATACAATATAACAAAGGGAATATGATAGTCTGATACAAATGACTAAACATAAACAACTAAGCAAAGGAGTAAAAAACAAGGTGACCACAAATGTAAAATTAGAATGTATAGAAGGGGAAACAATAACTAAAGATGCACCGATAGGTATCTGCTGTGAGAAGGAACACTCAGTTCCGGTGTTGTTTGTAAGTTATGTGTATGTTTTTGTTGATGTGTTTAAGTGTTTAAAATAAAAATAAAAACTTCCCCAAATCAAGCCAGCACATGGCAGCAAAAAGCATGCCATCAGAATACAGCCAAAGCAATTTTTCTCCTAAGCATAATACCAGAGGGGTTTAAGAAAAATGTACTCTATCTAATTATACATGTACTAACTGCGGCGCGCATAACTTTTGCACAGTATTGGAAAAAAGAAAATACACCATCAGAGCTAGATATAATCAGAAAAGTGTTGGCCTGTGCGGAAGCAGATAGGCTCACTCTTGAACTTAAAAATAAAGGGGAATCAGAATATTTTGAAGTCTGGAATAGATTTTATGATTGGTATAAGACAAGGTGACAAGACTGAAACAAACTGTATATATTGTGATTGGATAATGCACTAAGTAGGCTAAGTTAATGGTTATACACTAATTGTGTATAATGTGAATGTATGGTCACTTTGACTCTGCGGTACTGCATTGTTTTAAATGTAAAAATAATAAAAATATATTTTTAAAAAAAGAAGACAGCCAAAGCAATTCAAAAGGAAACAAAGTCTGTGACAGAAGCTCCACAGAACCTGACACATCTCTCTCTAATAGGACTACTTAAGATACTAAAGCAGAGAATGCTGACCCTGACAGGCAAGAGATTGCATATCAGCCCAACTTCCATTTAGCGTAATGTACTGTAACTGTCCACAAGCTGATGTGCTCCTGAACTCCCAAAATTTCTAAAGAACGTGGCAAATAGGCAGAAATTAACGGTAATAAATAGAGCACATCTGATGGGGATAGATTGGTGCAGTGTCTGCAATAAGGAGGGAGAAGAGCCACAATATAAATTCTTGAGAATCATCATTCTTGCACTCTGTTTAGCAGATGGTTTGCCCCACTCTACATTAAGGGGGGAGGGCTGTTTAGAGCGTCTCCTCTTTCAAATTCCTGGGAGTGCACATTAGCCAAGATCTCACCTGGAAAAATAATACCTCCCAGGTGGTCAGGAAGGTTCAACAGGGACTCCATTTCCTTTGGGTCATGCGGAAAAATCAAGTGGAACAACGACTGATGACTTCCTTTTATCGGGCTTCAATAGAAAGCTTCCACACATATTGTGCTACGGTATTGTATGCTGGCTTGACCGCCGCAGACAGAAAGGAATTACAGGGAGTGAAGAGCACAGTACAAAAAATCATGGGCTGCCTCTGACCACACTGGATGAAATCGCCAGGACCCACTGTCTTAGCAGAGTGAGGAAAATCCTCAGGAATGATTCACACCCTGGTCAGCGCTTCTTTACTCTCCTACCATCTGGCAGGCGATATAGAAGCACAGCCAGCCAAACGAATAGGCTGAAAAATAGCTTTTATCTGTGGGCCGTAACTGAATACAACATAACACCACAATCAGGTTTAATACAATAGACTTGCAGGGCCAGCACAACAAGCAACATATTTATACCAGTGTAATTATATACATGTATGTATATGGGAATGTGTGCTGGTTATTACTTATTTGGGTTTAGGGATTTCTTTTTCTTTTACGTAGTGTGTTATTGAGATGTATTCAATGTCTGGGGGGGGGGTGTGGAAACTGCACCAAGGGAGGGTCATTCAATTTCATTGTACACATGTTGTATATTGACAATAGGGGTTTGATTTGATTTGATGGTTTCCCTGTAGAAAACAGGTACAATTTTGATTAGTTAGAGTTACATTGGCATGCAATTTCTACTTACGTATAATTGGCCTCTTCTGGAGCTGGGAAGGACTCCTTAGGCCAGTTGATCACGCAGTTGAGGAAGATGAGGCAAGCCAGGCCTGACCAGACAAGCATGATAACGATGAAGGAAACTCCTGCATCATAGATCAGCTAATAGGAACATGACAAGAGGCAAAATAAATGTGAGGAATGGTAGAAAAACCACAGAGAAAAGATGGGATGGCTTTGGATAATTATGCCTATTTCCAATAAGAAGGCATAAAAGAGGCTAATGAATTCTCTAATACCTATACAGAAAGCAATTCCTGTGAATTCTGTGCACACAGTTGAGAAGGTGCACCCATCTCTTCACCTAAACTTGGGAAACAATGACGACAGACAATGTCTATGAGATTCTCAATCATCCAGGTTATAGTTGTTCCAAATGTGTTTTTCCAAAGAGGACTTGACTTTCTTGTTTGTTTTTCTTCTCATTTTTTGCTTCTCACTCTCTGAACTGAAGAAGCTTCTTGGATGAGAAACAAAATGTTTTTAAGGGGAAAAAACAAGGAAGTCAGTTGCCCTTTGAAAAGCACCTTTGGAATGACAGGTGATTTGTCAATCAGGTCTGCTTTTACTCTCCCTTTCTCTTCCCAGTGGTAGAATATCCTTTGCTGGTAGACCACACATCTGGATTCCTCTAGTGTCTTTCCCAGCCTAACGAAGAAAAGCTTTCTGTCTCATCAGCCAAGAGAGAAGCATACAAACATACAACCCACAGCTGCCTTTGACTCTCTGGATCAGGAATTTGGGATTAGGACGTTCCTTGCTGCATCATCCGGTTCTACTACATACCTTAACTCCAGGAAAAGTAACAGCAGAAGAAGCATAAGAGCCAATCAAGAGTGCCATGAAAGTAGAACGCAAGTTTCCAAACATGTTGGGCAGCTAAAGAGATATAAAAAGACAATAAACAGAAATATATTCCCTAGTCTGGTCCTTTCAAGTTACTCTCTTTTATAGCCTTTTATTTTATGTAGACTATAAATAACGTTAATGGTAACCCAAAAAGCTGGATCCTTCTTTATTTTCCATATTCTCATCTAAATCATTCCCACTTCTTCTACATTCTGATTTTCCATCAGATACATATTCAAACCACATGTATTATCACTGCCTAATGATGTATAGTGCAAAGCTTCACTTGTGTACTCAGAAGCCAAGACCCTATGAACTAAGTGGTCTACGATAGTAGCATTAACTAATACAATGTTTATTTTAAAATTAGATACTACTACCTTAAAAATCTCAAAGCATAAAAACCAGAAATTAAAACAATAACAAGTTGCTTAAAGCATATTGTACATTAAAATGTTATAGGTAATATACAGAATCTATAACAAAATCGTAAGAAAGGTAGCAATAGAAGATCTAAAAATCACACCGACATTATAATTAAAAGACTGGGGAAAACAAAAATATATTTGCCTGGCACTGAGTCAATAATAGCTCACTTGGGAGACTTTTCCAAAGTCCCTTGAGATGACCTTGTCAGGTCAAAACCTATTGGAAGAGGGATTCCTTCAGATACAACAGTCCAAACTTATAAAAGGCTAAAATCAGCATTTTGAAGTGGAAATAAACTGCATGACCATGGAGATCATAAAGAACTGGCATGATGTATTCATATTGCCCAATTCCTTTCAATACTCTTGCTACCAGAGTTCTGTACTAAGTGAAGCTGCTGAGCCGTCTCAGGATAGCTTCACATACATCCCATTACAGTAATCCAACAAGAAATATGTAGAACTATTGTTTTGAAGTTACTGTATATCTATCCAGTTAGGGCTGTAGCTACAGTACCATATCAGCCTAAACTGATAAAGGAACTACATGCCACAAAGACTACCTGGGCCTCTACAGTCAAATATGGATCTGAAAATAGCCTTTTGCTATGAACCTGATCCTTTAAGGCACATGAAAGACCATTCAGAGCAGGCTCTGGGCATAAACATCACTAACAGCATCCTGTCTGCTTTGAATTGAGCTTCAATCTGTTGCTCTTCATCATCCAGTCCATTACCAAATGAGGTTCCTGGTTCCATGTAGGTATTGACCAACATGGGGGATACACTGGAACCTGTGAGGCCCCACAATGGTCAGTCAAAAGGCCTCCATTGTCATCCTTTGTAGCCATCCATCCAAAATGAGAACCACATCAAGGGTGGTTCACACCTAAAGTGAAGCTGTTTAGTTGTCTCCGGAAAGATTCCATAGTTGATAGTCAGCTGCTGAAAGAAGCTGGGGAATCAATGAAGCTTCACTCCTCCATCTTCTCCAGGCAAAGATTATCAAGGCAGTTTCCATGTCAAAACCCCTAAACCTGATTGAAGTGGATCTAGTAAATTGTTCCACCCATTAGCATCTGCAACTGATCAGCTATTATCCTTGTCCAGGAAGGGAATGCTGGCAACTGGCCTAAAAATTATTTAGATCTTCTAGAGTCATTGATATTATTCCCAGAAATGGGCTCACTACACCTTCATTTAATGAGGTTAGCATCAGTTATGTAAGCAGGATTTAACTTTCAGACCAAACTGAGCATGCTATTCCTGCTGAATATAATAAGCCATAAAGGATAACAGGCAAACAGATGTGGGGGTGGCTGAATTACTCAAACAGTGTTAACAGGCCCTAAAAATAAAATATCCAAAGAAATCTAATGAAAACTGAGCCCTGAACACATCTACAAATTGGTCTGAAGCTGCCGAGTCTAAATTATGACTGTGCTCAACAGTTAACATGACTCAGCTAGCCATCAAGGATTATGATCTGTATTCAGCTGGATCCCAAACAGCCCTCAACTATTCAGAAAAACTGTGCTGGATGACACTGGGAAAGGATGCAATGCTGGAAGAGAAACTGCTTTCTGTTTCCATCACCAACACAAAGTACGTTTGATAATGAGCTCTTATGTTTGATCAGATTCAGGATGTGCTTTTCCTCCACTTGTGTATTAGTCATCTCCTGACTTGCCCTCATATGTATCAAGGGATTGAACAGGCTGTATGACATGGGAGAAAATGTTCAATGGGCAATAATAATCAATCTCTATATTCCACAGGCAGGCAAATCATCAACAGAAACACGAATCGCACTAGTTGAAAAATCTGAAACCCATCAACCTCTGGGGGAGGGGTGGGGCAGACCACTCTAACAGGTTAGCCAACTCTGCAGAGAATAATAGTCTCAATAAGAAATAGTCCAAGCAAGGCAAGAGAGCAGATCAGAGGTGGGTTGCTCCCAGTTCAGCCTGGATTGGGCGAACCAGTAGTAGTGGCGGTGGGAGGCTCCACCCACCTGCCTGGATGCTCCTGCGCATGCACACAAATGTGCCTGAACCAGTAGTAAAGAAATTGGCAACCCACCACTGGAGCAGATGTAAAGGAGATGTCACATCCTTCCGCCCAGTATAAATACAAAAAAGAAACCCAAATCCCTGAAGTCCAGAAAATCCACAGGCCAGGAAATCAAGGGATGAACATTAAAGCATTCCAGGAGTCTTCAAAATTAAGCCCTAAACAATCACTCAGATTGAGAGGCTGTTGAATTAGGCAGGGGTGATGTTAACAGGTAGTCCTCAATTTATAATCACAATTGAGCCCACATTTTCCACTGCTAAATGAGACAACTAAGCGTCCCATTTTATTAATTGTTAAATTAATAACACAGCTGTTAAGTGAATCTGGCTTCCCCATTGACTTTGCTTGTCGGAAGGTCACAAAAACAGATCACAGGATCCCGGGACACTGCAAACCTCATAAATATGAACCAATTGCCAGGCGCCCAAATTTTGACCTCGTGATCATGGGGATACTGCAATGGTCATAAGTGTGAAAAAGGGTGGTAAGTCACTTTTTTTAGTGCTATTGTAACTTTGAAAGGTCACTAAACAAATGTCAAGGACTACCTGTATAATCAGTTTTAAGCTTGTTTCTTTTCCTCTAGAACAGCTCTAAGGAAGGCATGGTGCCAAACCTAACATTGGATTTGGGTAAACAGTGAAACAGAGAATGGCTCCTTCTCCAGTTCCCCAAAATACACCTCTCTTTCCAAGACGAAGGGGAAAGGTGTGGCCCTTTATTCTGCCTGCTCATTGGCTGGTACTCCCCACCTGTGCCCTGAGGGTGTTTTTCTGCCTATTCCAAAACATGCCTCTGTCTCCTAGTGAAGCAGGTATAATCTTTGTATGTTTTGTATTTATGTGCAATGTCTTTCTTATGCATTTTGCAATGGAGTACAGCAGAGGGCTTGGAAAAGCTGTTGGTCAGGTCACCTGGACAAGCAAACAGGGAGAGAGAACTTCCTGCCAAGGTCACAATCCTTACATGTGGGCTTTGCAGAACCTGAAGTGACCAGAGCCACCCTGTACCTTTATAAATGGTGAACAGCAGGAAATTCCAACAGATACAGATCTTTGAGCCCTCGCTGATAAAGTGCCACTAACCTCTCTTTTGTATGGCTCTTAAAGGCACAGGGTATCTTTGGTCACCCAAATGTCACAGTGTTGTCTCATAAAAACACGGCATTCAAGGAATCTCATGCAGGAGAAGAGGCTCATGACCTCTGCCAGCTAACCAGAGTGACATACACCACACAACCCATACAGCTTATACCACAATATACACACCGCCCAACAAGGAAGATTTAGAAACACATGTAACACGCAGAGAGAAAGAGCAAGATGTTTAAAATTGTATGTTTGCATTTTACTCTTTGTTACATAAGGGTTAAAAATTGCTAAAAATTACAACTGCAGATATTTAAATTCACTTGTTATCTCTGTAAATTACTTAAATTATAGGAGCACAGAGAAATGCTAATGAGAGCCAGTAGAGCTGAGACAGATTTAACATAAAAATCTCATAGGCATGTGGGTGTTAACTGTGATTCAAAGGAACAATGTTCAGATTTTTAATGCTTTTATCCTATAACATTTTGTTTTGCTTTGGATTTACCTCTAGGAAATAAAGTGGGGTGGGGGGTGGGAAATAAGCACTTCTATCTGCTGATAGAGGATCACATAAGTGGATAATGGTCAGAACAGAAAAAGAGAAATCTGGCATGTTAGGAAATACTAGACATCCCATGCCCTATTGTGTCATTGTTTCAGAGGTATTTCCTTACCTAATCAGAGAAACTGAATTGGCAAATAGTAACAGGAACAGGAGCAACTTCTGCTTTCCAGCTGGCTTTCTCATTGAATGTTCTTGTGAGAAGCTGGTAAGGAGCACTAGGAATTCCTTCCTTCCTTCCTTCCTTCCTTCCTTCCTTCCTTCCTTCCTTCCTTCCTTCC